AAAATATTTATTCATAAGCTGGGAAAGAGTCTCTCTGCCGGCATGGGTGGTCTGATGCAGTTTCTGTAGCACTGGCCGTATTAGATTCCTTGGTAGGAGGATTTTTCCTTCCGTGGAGTGGAGCCATCTCTCCTTTCCCTGGAGCCCAAGTGTGTCGGCCAGGTTCCTCTCTTCGTGAGAGTACTGAGGGGTCGGGAGCTCCCCCACTGATGGGATGAGGACATGCACATGGGCATCTTCAGCTTCCGGGGGTTCCAGGGTAGCAGCTCGCTTGGCCTCCCTGTCCGCCCTGGCATTACCCCAGCCACATCTTGATCTTCCCTTTGATGAGCCTTGCGGTGCACCACTGCTACCGCTGCGGGGAGCTGTACCGCTTCTAAAAGCCGGAGAATTTGAAGCCCGTGCTTGACCGGAGAGCCTTGGGCTGTTAGCATTCCTCTCTGCTTCCACAGACCGGCATGGGCGTGTAGCACTCCAAAAGCATATCTGGGATCAGTAAAAATGTTAACTCTTTTCCCTTTTGACAGTTCAGGTGCACGAGTTAAGGCTACCAATTCAGCCAGCTGGGCTGATGTCCCAGCAGGAAAACCCTCTGCTTCCATGGTTTTGTGGAGAGTTACAACAGCATAGCCAGCCCTCCTTTGTCCGTTTGTAACAGTACTACTGCCGTCGGTGTACCATTCATAAGCAGCATTCGGGAGGGGTTGATCTTTTAAGTCCGGGCGGCTGGAGTATTGGGCATCTATGACCTCCAAACAGTCGTGTTCCTGCTCCTCTGTCTCCGGTAACAGGGTGGCTGGGTTGAGGGAGGGACAGGTCTGTCGGGTAACTTCAGGATTTTCTAACAGTTTAGCCTGATACCGAGCAACCCGAGCCGGTGTGAGCCAGAGACCACCCTTAGTATCCAGCAGGGCTTGGACCATGTGGGGAGTATACACCTGCACAATTCCCCCAGTGTCAGTTTCTCGGCTTCCCCAAGCACTAGGGCAGTTGCTGCGACTGCCCGCAAACATGCCGGCCACCCCTTGGCAACTTGATCCAGTTGTTTAGAGAAATATGCCACGGGACGTTTCCAGGTGTCTAATAACTGAGTAAGCACTCCCAGGGCCACCCCTTTCCGTTCATGCACATACAGTTGGAACGGCTTAGAGAGATCCGGCAGACCCAGGGCTGCTAGGGTCTTTGGGGAGCACTTCTTTTATCGGTGAGAAAAGAAACCTAACACATTTCATTAATGCCTGGCAGTGTTTTGCAGATCTCATAGTTGCTTGGGCACATTCAGGCCCCCCTTTTCTTGGCTGTCAGCCAAATCTTAGCTGTGGGTAGTATCCTTGGATGGGGCCAGCATCTTATCTTTGGACTGAGCTTGCTAGCTATATTTCCCAGTTAACTCGTTCTGTTCTTTTTCCTTCTCCCCTTCTTGGCTTCTTTTAACCTACAAAGGAAACTTCCACTCTTCACTCATACACCTTTCCCCAACAATGAACACATACACATTGCCATCATACACCCTTCCAGTAAAATAACTTCTATACAGAGCTTTGGAGCAACAAACCAGGACGAGCACACCCACTTTTGAGGAGTCCACTTGGTACAACCTCTGGTGTCCAATAGCTTTCCTTTTTAAAACCTTAAATGCCTTGTCGGCTTCTGAGGACCAGTGAAAGGGGTCGTGATCCGCTCCCTTAACGCATTCGTATAAGGGTTTAGCCCACAGTCCAAACTCTGGGATCCATATTCTGCAGAAGCCTGCCATGCCCAGAAACGCCCTGAGCCGTTTACAATTGCTTGGGATAGGAATTTGGCAGATAGCTTCCTTTCTTTCACTTGAAAGCTGACGCCCCCCCTGCCTTATGTGAAACCCTAAGTACTGTACTTCTGGGAGGGCGATCTGAGCCTTACTCTGTGCTACCCGATATCCTCGGAGTCCAACAAAGTTCAGGAGGCTCACAGTGGCTTTAAGGCAAGACCCACAGCGGCAATTAACAAGTCATCCACATATTGCAGGAGGAGGACCCTGTCCTCATTGTCCCACTCTTCCAAGTCTCTGGCCAGGGCCTGGCTGAAAAGGGTGGGGGGATTTTTAAATCCCTGGGCCAACACTGTCCAGCAAAGCTGCTTTTTAACCCTCCTTTTATCCTTCCTCTGGCTCCACTCTGGGGCTTGCATGGCTGAGGGCTCAATTGCAAGGGTCATTATCCAGGCATTCTCGGGGGGTAAGGTGAGGGTTACTTCATCTTCTTTGACCTCCTTAGATAGTCTCTGCCAAATTGGCTTGATATTGTTCATAAGCTCCCAATCCCAGTGTTTTAACCTTTTTAGTTTTTGGCTTTTTTTTTTTTTCTTCTTCCTCCTCCTCAACAGCAGGGTCCTCATGAGGACATTACAGTCATCCCAGTCAGGCTTATGGCTAGCCAGGCACCCCTCAGAGACCGAGATAAACTCGCTTGGGTTCG